GTTAGAGACAGTAAAGTCTATATTTCTGTTGTAACGTTAGAGACAGGAAAGTCTATATTTCTGTTGTAACGTTAGAGACAGGAAAGTCTATATTTCTGTTGTAACATTAGAGACAGGAAAGTATATATATCTGATGTATCATTAGAGATAGGAAAGTCTATATTTCTGATGTAACGTTAGAGATAGTAAAGTCTAAATTTCTGTTTTAACATTAGAGATAGGAAGGCTGATCTTTCTATTGACATTAAATATAGGAACGCCGATCTTTCTATTGAAATTAAATATAGGAACGCTGACATTTCTGTTGACAATAGATATAGGAACGATGATATTTCTATTGAAATTAAATAGATGAACGCTGATCTTTCTATTGACAATAAATATAGGTACCCTGATCCTTTTGTTGACATCAGAAATATGAACGCCGAATTTTTTGTTGACATTATAAATATGAACGCCGATCTTTTTGTTGACAATAAATATAGAAACGCTGATCTTTCTGTTCACATTAGAAATATGAACGCCGACCATGCTGTTGACATTTAATATAGGAACGCCGACCTTTCTGTTGACATTAAATATATGAACGCAGTTTTTTTCCGTCGACATTCGATATAGGAACGCTGTTTTTTCTGTCGACATTCGATATATGAACGCTGCTTTTTTCTGTCGACATAAAATATAGGAACGCATATATTTATGTTGACATTAAATATAGGAACGCTGATCTTTCTGTTGGCAATCAATATAGGAACGCATGTATTTCTGTTGACATAAGATATAGGTACGCAGATCTTTCTGCTGACATTAAATATAGGAACGCAGGTTTTTCTGTTGACAATAAATATAGGAACGCTGACATTTCTGTTGACATTAAATATAGGATTGCGGTTATTTTTGTTGACATTAAATATAGGAACGCATGTATTTCTGTTGACATTAAATATATGAACGCAGTTATTTCTGTTGACATTAAATATAGGAACGCTGATCTTTGTGTTGACTTTAAATATAGGAACGCTGTTTTTCTGTCGATATTCGATATAGGAATGTATGTATTTCTGTTAACATTAAATATAGGAAAGTATATACTTCTGTTGACATTAAATATAGGAACGCTGATCTTTCTGATGACGTTAAATATAGGAACGCATGTATATCTGTTGACATTAAATATAGAAACGCTGATCTTTGTGTTGACGTTAAATATAGGAACGCTTTTTTTGTCTACATTCGATATAGGAACGCTTGTTTTTTCTGTCGACATTCGATATATGAACGGTGTTTTTTCTGTCGACATTCGATATAGGAACGCTGTTTTTTTCTGTTGACATTAGATATAGGAACGCATGTATTTCTATTGACATTAGATATAGGAACGGCGATCTTTCTGTTGACAATAAATATAAGAACGCTGATATTTCTGTTGACATTAAACATAGGAACGCTGATATTTCTGTTTTACATTTGAAATATGAACGCTGATATTTTTGTTGACAATACATATAGGAACGCTGATATATCTGTTGACATTAAGCATAGGCAAGTTGATCTTTCTGTATTGACATTTAATTTAGGAACGCCGACCTTTCTGTTGACATTAAATATGGAAACGTTGATCTTTCTGTTGGCGTTAGATATATGAACGCTGTTTTTTTTTTTCGACATTCGATAGAGGAACGCTGTTTTTCCTGTCGACATTCGATATAGGAACGCTGTCTTTTCTGTTGACATTAAATATAGGAACGTATATATTTCTATTGACATTAAATATAGGAGCGCATGTATTTCTGTTGACATTTAATATAGGAACGCATGTATTTCTGTTGACATTAAATATAGAAACGTTGATCTTTCTGTTGACGTTAAATATATGAACGCTGTTTTTTCTCTCGATTTTCGATAGAGGAACGCTGTTTTTCCTGTCGACATTCGATATATCAACGCTGTTTTTTCTGTTGACATTGAATATAGGAACGCTGTCTTTTCTGTTGACATTAAATATAGGAACGTATATATTTTTGTTAACATTAAATATAGGAACGCATGTATTTCTGTTGATATTAAATATAGGAACGCATGTATTTCTGTTGACATTTAATATAGGAACGCATGTATTTCTGTTGACATTAAATATAGGAACGGCGATCTTTCTGTTAAAAATAAATATAGGAACGCGGTTACTTCTGTTGACATTAAATATAGGAACGCTGATCTTTGTGTTGACGTTAAATATATGAACGCTGTTTTTATGTCGATATTCGATATAGGAATGTATGTATTTCTGTTAACATTAAATATAGGAACGTATATATTTCTGTTGACGTTAAATATAGGAACGATTTTTTTGTCGACATTCGATATATGAACGGTGTTTTTTCTGTCGATATTACATATAGGAACGCATGTATTTCTATTGACAATAAATATTGTAAAGCCCATCTTTCTATTGACATTAAATATAGAAACGTTGATTTTTTGTTATTTACATTTAATTTAAGAACGCCGACCTTTCTTTTGATATTTAATATAGGAACGCTGATTTTTCTTTTGACATTTACTATATGAACGCTGATCTTTGTGTTGACGTTAAATATAGGAACGCTGTTTTTTTCTGTCGACATTCGATATATGAACGCTGGTTTTTTCTGTCGACATTCGATATATGAACGGTGTTTTTTCTGTCGACATTCAATATAGGAACGCTGTTTTTTTCTGTTGACATTAAATATAGGAACGCTGATATTTCTGTTGACATTATTATAGGAACGCTGATCTTTGTGTTGACGTTAAATATAGGAACGCTGTTTATTCTGTCGACATTAAATATAGGAATGCATGTATTACTGTTGACATTAAATATAGGAACGCTGATGACATTAAATATAGGAACGCTGATATTTCTGTTGACAATAAATATAGGAACGCTGATCTTTGTGTTGACGTTAAATATAGGAACGCTGTTTATTCTGTCGACATTCGATATATATACGGTGTTTTTTCCGTCGACATTTGATATAGGAACGCTGTTTTTTTCTGTTGACATTAAATATAGGAATGCATGTATTACTGTTGACATTAAATATAGGAACGCTGATGACATTAAATATAGGAACGCTGATATTTCTGTTGACAATAAATATAGGAACGCATGTATTTCTGTTGACAACAAATATAGGAACGCAGATCTTTCTGCTGACATTAAATATAGGAACGTATGTATTTCTTTTTGATATTTAATATAGGAACGTATGTATTTCTGTTGACATCTAATATAGGATTGCGGTTATTTCTGTTGACATTAAATATAGGAACGCTAATATTTCTGTTGACATTAAATATATGAACGCTGATATTTCTATTGACAATAAATATAGGAACGCTGATCTTTCTGTTAACGGTAGATATAGGAACGCTGTTTTTTCTGTCGACATTTGATATATGAACGGTGTTTTTTCTCTCGACATTTGATATATGAACGCTGGTTTTTCCTGTCGACATTCAATATAGGAACGCTGTTTTTTTCTGTTGACATTAAATATAGGAACGCATGTATTTCTGTTGACATTAAATATAGGAACGCTGATGACATTAAATATATGAACGCTGATATTTCTGTTGACATTATTATAGGAACGCTGATCTTTGTGCTGACGTTAAATATAGGAACGCTGTTTTTCTGTCGATATTCGATATAGGAACGCTGGTTTTTTCTGTCGACATTCGATATATGAATAGTGTTTTTTCTGTCGACATTCGATATAGGAACGCGTTTTTTTCTGTTGATATTTAATATAGGAACGCTGTTTTTTTCTGTTGACATTAAATATAGGAACGCTGATGACATTAGATATAGGAACGCTGATATTTCTGTTGACAATAAATATAGGAACGCATGTATTTCTGTTGACAACAAATATAGGAACGCAGATCTTTCTGCTGACATAAAATATAGGAACGCTGACATTTCTGTTGACATTAAATATAGGATTGCGGTTATTTTTGTTGACATTAAATATAGGAACGCTAATATTTCTGTTGACATTAAATATATGAACGCTGATATTTCTATTGACAATAAATATTGGAACGCCGATCTTTCTATTGACAATAAATATTGAAACGCCGATCTTTCTGTTGTCATTAAATATATAGAAACGCTAATATTTCTATTGACATTAAATATGAGAACACTGATGTTTCTATTGACATTAAATATGAGATCACTGATATTTCTATTGACATTAAATATGAGAACACTGATGTTTCTATTGACATTAAATATGAGAACACTGATATTTCTAATGTGTCAATAAAGATAGAAACGGCTGTTTTTTTGTTTTGACTTTGAATGTTGGAACGTTGTCAACTGTCATACTACATTAAGAAAGGAACAATGCTATTTCTGTTCTAACAATAAACATAAGGAAAGAGAATATTTCTGTTGTGTCATTTTTGTTTGTTTCCAATAAAGATTTATGTATAACGCTGAATTTATCGAAAGCGAAAGATACAATAATATAAACTTTATTTGTGAACAACCATCCGATGCTGTTATTAGTACCGACACGACACATTTTTCTAGGTAGGTTACATCATGAGATATCTATGGCCATAGAATGTCTCGCAGTAAAGAACTTACCGTTCTCAATCACGTACTTTTATTTTTATACGACCGAGGTTAATATATGAAACCGAATTATATCCTTTAATTATGATATTTGTGCGCATTTTTTGTGATGAAAACATTGATAAATGCTATATACGCACACGGTAGTGATATTTCTATGGTAAATATGTTTATCTACGCAGGACAGTAGCCGCTCCATTGATAATAAGTCGCTTGGATGAAACATCGAACATCATCAGTTAACGATATAGGAACAATGCTACAGAATGATTTCTTTTTATATAGAACAATTCATGATAATAACAACATGTAATACGTCTCCGTGAACTCTATGGACATGCAAGAAAACACTTTACAGAAATGACGTCATCAATTTACCACACTTTGGAATTTGTTTTATCTATTTTGAAATGTCACTGTTCGTAAAACGATATTTTGCAAACATATTCAAGATTTGTAGGTTAAGACGTATTTTATAGAGTTTCCTATCGCACAGATCTATAAACAATGCGTATGACAGTTGTTATAGAGTCACTCTTCAGTCGGAACTATTTCTTTGTACAGTTCTTAATGACATTTACACATAGATTTACTGACTTAAAAAGTCTTCACAATGTCTATTTCCTGTATCTTACTTGGAACAGTTTAGGAGGTAATACATCGGATAACAAAGGATGATATATCCGCAGTGACCCCATCATCAGTAACTTTATTTCTAATAGGTATTTTCACCCACAGTGATCGAACTTCTACAGCCATCTTGAAGATTGATATATTTATATAAACTAAATGTTATTTGACCAACACTGTAATAAACATTTCGTACATCAATGAAAATGAACAGCTGACGGTATCCTAAAACGTATTCGTCATCACAGAAAGTTTCTTCTGTTTAAAAAATATATGTTCATCTATAGGTCGGATTTTAATATCAACTTCTTTCAATAGTCTTCTTCCCTTCCAAATCGGAATGGAGTATGGGGTTTGTCTGCACTTCGTCCGTACCGGAAAAGAGCCCTCCGTTTTCCAAAACGGAATAAACTCCCCCTTTTGTCCTCGTTTTCGGTGTTCGCATAATCCTCGAGGGGCAATTCCATATTTTCATCTTGGTCGTCGAAGCGTTTTCCGTAGCGAAGGATAGACCTTCGCTTGCCGAATCTGAGCAGACTCCCGCGCTTTCCAAATCTGAGAAGGCTTCCACGTTTTCCGAACCGAAGAAGACTGCCACGTTTAATAAGCTCTGCTAAGTCTTCATCGGATAGGTCATTGTAGGGATTGTATCCTTCATAGTCTATTTCTGGCGCCATTCTCTTTTTTATTTCAGCCTGGTCTGAATCCACTGAAAAAAAAATCAAAATATCGTGGAATGTAAATGTTTAAAACCTTGTGATAAATATCTATCATTTCTCATATTGTTGTGTTATCAAAGAAATACAAATATTTCTCTAATTTGTGGAATTTCAAAGATAGTTCTGTAGATTCTAAAAGTTCAAAACATTTCCGTAGATTCTAAAATTTCAAATTTTTTGTAGATTCTACATTTCTGTAGATTCTATAATTTCAAAATATTTCTGTAGATTGTAAAAGTTCAAAACTTTTCAATAGATTCTAAAATTTCAATATATTTCTCTAGATTATGGAATTAAGTAATAACAACAATTGACCAACCATGCGTATAGTAGTGTTAAACACTTAGGTATACTTTAAAGAACACCATACAACACCCCAATACATAATAACTGATAGGCAAGTATTCGGAACAAAAACATAACTACTGGCTTCATAGCTCAACAGACAGGTGTACCCTGTAACATTTCCATGATATGTTAACGACAAACTATCCTGTACTTGCGTGCTATATATGGTAAGGCAGACTCCAGAATGCCATTCTATTCCCGTTTATCGACCATAGACTGACACGTGGTGGTAAAAACATGTGTTTTCTATGCTCCGAAAAACATCTAGAATATACCATCATGCCAATAAAGTCATAAGTTAAAATTATCTAAACTTAGGAAAAAAAAGGAACAAAATAAGATAGACAAGACTCATGAAAACGTAGTACCATAAGAACAGGTGTTACGGAAGAGTAAGTGTCTTCTGCTTCATCGACGACACCGACATGTAAACCTTGATCAATCTAAGTAAGAAATGTCACGTTCTCATATGAGAACAATGTAAACAATTACAACGGAACCAACAGGCAAGTACCGAACTTAGAACAACGTAACAGCAACAACCGCGAGTAAATCCTAATAAAGCTTCTTCCTCTACCGCTAGTAAATCCTAATAAAGCTACCTTCTCTACCGCTAGTAAATCCTAATAAAGCTACCTTCTCTACCGCTAGTAAATCCTAATAAAGCTACCTTCTCTACCGCTAGTAAATCCTAATAAAGCTACCTTCTCTACCGCTAGTAAATCCTAATAAAGCTACCTTCTCTACCGCTAGTAAATCCTAATAAAGCTACCTTCTCTACCGCTAGTAAATCCTAATAAAGCTACCTTCTCTACCGCTAGTAAATCCTAATAAAGCTACCTTCTCTACCGCTAGTAAATCCTAATAAAGCTACATTCTCTACCGCTAGTAAATCCTAATAAAGCTACCTTCTCTACCGCTAGTAAATCCTAATAAAACTACCTTCTCTACCGCTAGTAAATCCTAATAAAATGACATCATCTACCACGGGTAAATCCCAATAAAATTACCTTTAGATATAATACACGACATTGAACTTTAATCACCAGTAGAGATAATAAACATTGAAGTTTAGTCACCAGTAGAGATAATAAACATTGAAGTTTAGTCACCAGTAGAGATAATAAACATTGAAGTTTAGTCACCAGTAGAGATAATAGACATTGAAGTTTAGTCACCAGTAGAGATAATAAACATTGAAGTTTAGTCACCAGTAGAGATAATAAACATTGAAGTTTAGTCACCAGTAGAGATAATAAACATTGAAGTTTAGTCACCAGTAGAGATAATAAACATTGACGTTTAGTCACAAGTAGAGATAATAAACATTGAAGTTTAGTCACCAGTAGAGATAATAAACATTGAAGTTTAGTGACCAGTAGAGATAATGAACATTGAAGTTTAGTCACCAGTAGAGATAATGAACATTGAAGTTTAGTCACCAGTAGAGATAATGAACATTGACGTTTAGTCACCAGTAGAGATAATAAACTTTGAAGTTTAGTCACCAGTAGAAATAATAAACATTGATGTTTTGTCACCAGTAGAGATAATAAACATTGATGTTTTGTCACCAGTAGAGATAATATAGGACATTGATGTTTAGTCATCAGTAGAGATAATATAGGACATTGATGTTAAGTCATCAGTAGAGATAATATAGGAGATTGATGTTTAGTCACCAGTAAATATAATATAGGAGATTGATGTTTAGTCACCAGTAAATATAATACACGACATTGATGTTTAGTCATCAGTAGAGATAATATAGGACATTGATGTTTAGTCACCAGTAGAGATAATACACGACATTGATGTTTAGTCACCAGTAAATATAATATAGGAGATTGATGTTTAGTCACCAGTAAATATAATATAGGAGATTGATGTTTAGTCACCAGTAAATATAATATAGGATATTGATGTTTAGTCACCAGTAAATATAATACACGACATTGATGTTTAGTCATCAGTAGAGATAATATAGGAGATTGATGTTTAGTCACCAGTAAATATAATACACGACATTGATATTTAGTCATCAGTAGAGATAATATAGGAGATTAATGTTTAGTCACCAGTAAATATAATACACGACATTGATGTTTAGTCATCAGTAGAGATAATATAGGACACTGATGTTTAGTTACCAGTAAATATAATACACGACATTGATGTTTAGTCATCAGTAGAGATAATATAGGAGATTGATGTTTAGTCACCAGTAAATATAATACACGACATTGATGTTTAGTCATCAGTAGAGATAATATAGGAGATTGATGTTTAGTCACCAGTAAATATAATACACGACATTGATGTTTAGTCACCAGTAAATATAATATAGGAGATTGATGTTTAGTTACCAGTAAATATAATATAGGAGATTGATGTTTAGTTACCAGTAAATATAATACACGACATTGATGTTTAGTCATCAGTAGAGATAATATAGGATATTGATGTTTAGTCACCAGTAAATATAATACACTACATTGATGTTTAGTCATCAGTAGAGATAATATAGGATATTGATGTTTAGTCACCAGTAAATATAATACACGACATTGATGTTTAGTCATCAGTAGAGATAATATAGGAGATTGATGTTTAGTTACCAGTAAATATAATACACGACATTGATGTTTAGTCACCAGTAAATATAATATAGGAGATTGATGTTTAGTTACCAGTAAATATAATACACGACATTGATGTTTAGTCATCAGTAGAGATAATATAGGAGATTGATGTTTAGTCACCAGTAAATATAATATAGGAGATTGATGTTTAGTTACCAGTAAATATAATATAGGAGATTGATGTTTAGTTACCAGTAAATATAATACACGACATTGATGTTTAGTCATCAGTAGAGATAATATAGGATATTGATGTTTAGTCACCAGTAAATATAATACACTACATTGATGTTTAGTCATCAGTAGAGATAATATAGGATATTGATGTTTAGTCACCAGTAAATATAATACACGACATTGATGTTTAGTCATCAGTAAATATAATATAGGAGATTGATGTTTAGTTACCAGTAAATATAATACACGACATTGATGTTAAGTCATCAGTAGAGATAATATAGGAGATTGATGTTTAGTCACCAGTAAATATAATATAGGAGATTGATGTTTAGTCACCAGTAAATATAATATAGGAGATTGATGTTTAGTTACCAGTAAATATAATATAGGAGATTGATGTTTAGTTACCAGTAAATATAATACACGACATTGATGTTTAGTCATCAGTAGAGATAATATAGGATATTGATGTTTAGTCACCAGTAAATATAATACACGACATTGATGTTTAGTCATCAGTAGAGATAATATAGGAGATTGATGTTTAGTCACCAGTAAATATAATACACGACATTGATGTTTAGTCATCAGTAGAGATAATATAGGAGATTGATGTTTAGTTACCAGTAAATATAATACACGACATTTTTGTTTAGTCACCAGTAAATATAATATAGATTGATGTTTAGTTACCAGTAAATATAATACACGACATTGATGTTTAGTCATCAGTAGAGATAATATAGGAGATTGATGTTTAGTCACCAGTAAATATAATACACGACATTGATGTTTAGTCATCAGTAGAGATAATATAGGAGATTGATGTTTAGTCACCAGTAAATATAATACACGACATTGATGTTTAGTCATCAGTAGAGATAATATAGGAGATTGATGTTTAGTCACCAGTAAATATAATATAGGAGATTGATGTTTAGTCACCAGTAAATATAATATAGGAGATTGATGTTTAGTCACCAGTAAATATAATACACGACATTGATGTTTAGTCATCAGTAGAGATAATATAGGAGATTGATGTTTAGTCACCAGTAAATATAATATAGGAGATTGATGTTTAGTCACCAGTAAATATAATATAGGAGATTGATGTTTAGTCACCAGTAAATATAATACACGACATTGATGTTTAGTCATCAGTAGAGATAATACACGACATTGATGTTTAGTCACCAGTAAATATAATATAGGAGATTGATGTTTAGTCACCAGTAGAGATAATACACGACATTGATGTTTAGTTACCAGTAAATATAATATAGGAGATTGATGTTTAGTCACCAGTAAATATAATATAGGAGATTGATGTTTAGTCACCAGTAAATATAATATAGGAGATTGATGTTTAGTTACCAGTAAATATAATACACGACATTGATGTTTAGTCACCAGTAGAGATAATATAGGACACTGATGTTTAGTCACCAGTAAATATAATACACGACCTTAATCTTTTCAAACTTTTGAACGTTTGGATTCTTTAATTATTTTGGGAGAAACATCTAATTAATCTTGATGGAAAGGTTTGTATTTCTAACGTGAAGTACATGTGATACCCATGCTAGGTAATAAAATCCGATAACACACGCCGTTCTTCGTAAATGTCAATAGGCGGAATTATTAATTACTTCCCGAACATATCTCGCACCGTGCGTGTCTATTGGGTCATATCAATTCATGTGGGTACCAGTATCGAGTTCCTCAGTGCTAACATTTTGACTGTTGGACGATGAGAATGAATTTTCAACCTCCTTTGTTGTTCCGTTGTACGATATGAAACTGTACGTGTTTGATGA